CGCCGCTCCGTGCGCGGCCGCCTCAGCTCCTCCTTCCTTCCTTCCTTCCTTCCTTCCTTCCTTCCTTCCTTCCTTCCCTCCCTCCTTCCTTCCTTTTTCCTTTCCTTTCCTTCCCTTCCTTCCCCCCTCCCGCCCCTTCCTCGCCCGGCCGGAAGCGCCGGAAGCTCCCGCGCCGCTTCCGGGAACGGCCGCAGGGAGGGAAAGCGGCAGCCAATCAGAGAGCGCGCAGCCCACCGGCTTCCGGTTCCGGCTGGGATAAAACTCGCGCGCGGGGCGCGGGCCCGGCAGTCGCGGAGGAGGCGTCGCCGGCGGCTGAGGGATCGTGTGAGGGTGAGCGGGGCCCGGGCACCACCCCCCACCCCCGGCGCCGAGCGGGACGTCGGGGACAGCATTTCGGGTTCCCCCCGTGTCTGGTTGGGCTTTGAGGCGTGGCTTAGAAGCCCCTCGGAGAGGGGGTTTGGGTCCCGTTATGTCTGTTCGAGCTCTGAGGGTGGATTTAGGGGGCTTCCCCGTGTCTCTCTGGCCTTTCAGCGGAGGGTTAAGGGTGTCTCAGGGGGCTTTCGAGGCTTCCTACGTGTGTGTTTGGGTTTTCGGGGCAGAATTTAGGGGGCCTGTCTCTTGGAAAAGGGGTTAGGGTCCCTTCGTGTGTGTTTAGGCCCTCAGGCGGGGCTTAGGCCCCCTTCCATGACTATTTGCCGTCTTAGGGCAGGGTTAGGTGGCCCCCAAAGTTTATTCGGGTAGGGTTTGAGGTCCCTATTTGGGCCCTTAGGAAGCGTTAGGGATTCCCCGTGTGTAGCTGGGCCCTCAGGGAAGGTTGGGATCCCCTGCTGCGGCGCTTGGGGTGAAATTTGGGATTGTGCTGGAGCCTTTGGGGCAGGCGGGTTTGGGGTCCCCGTGTGTGGGTCTGTCAGGGACGGGGGATGGTGCTTTGTGCTGGGACCTTTATTCCCTCAGCTCTGCGGTACAGGGGGCTGGGCTGTGCAGGGGGGTTCCCTCAGATCCCGGGGAAAGGAGTGGGAATTGCGGAATGCAACCTTAAGGGTGTTTTCATTCCAACCCCGCTCTGCTGGTGGGGCCACCTCCCACAGGCCCCTGCTTGTCCTCTCGGGGTCTGCCTTTATTTATTTCTTTATTTTATTTCTTTCATCTTTATTTTTTTTCTTTTTTTTCCTCAATTTTATATTTTTTCTTTATGTCATTCCTTTATATATCATTTCTTTCTTTATTTATATTTATTTCTGAGTGCATTTTGCGGGAATAAATAGGTTCTTTATCTCCCTGCCTTGCCCTGCAGACCCATCAGAGCCCAATTTACACCTTCCCCGCT